AGCGCGTCCACTCGACTATCTCCCTAGGCTATCGGCTGGCTATTCGCGATTGCTGCGAACTTTTTGACAGGCGGATCGAGAGAACGCCCCGTTCAAAAGAATCTCAAAGATTCTTTTAGGGGCAGAGTGAAAATTCCAGGCCTCGCAGGGAACGCAACTACGCGAAGTGGACCCGAGGCCGGCGGAGATTTTAATCGCGGAGAGACTACGTGATTGTACTTTCCACGGATATCGTTAGAACACTCGACGACATTTGAAAATAAAATAGAGAACCTTTCTCTTTGTCTGTCGTTCTTTGAGAGTTGAATATCGACTCGTTAAACCAGGCTTGTCCACATCGCGCCGTACAACCAAAATTGGAACAATTGAAATAGGAATTTTTTTATTATTTGAATAATTTTAACTTAATCGTGTAGAGATATAATGTAAATAATGTTTATTCAATAGGAGTAACGATAATAGAACAACAAATAATTAAAGGAAGACAAGCAACGTTTAGTCGACGCGAATTCACAACTCTAATAAACTCTTTTAACAACAACAATTGACACTTTTAATAGTTCTCTCGCGACTCGGTTTTTCAACTAGCTCGACTCTGGTTTTTTTTAAAAAGAAAAGCGCTCCATGCCTACGTTACACTTCTCGCATCGCATTCATATTTTATCATATCTCTATAATCAACAAACAGGCCATCTGTTATATTTGAACGTAACTAAAATTATAACTACAGATTAATTATAATAACCGATACTACAATCGTGCCTTCCTTTTAACTTGCAAACTGAAATTCTGAGAGATTTTAACGCTAACCGTTTCTAGAACGTTGAAGGTGTCTTCGATGATATTGAAAAATATTTATAATTATAATATTATGATCATAATATAAATATTAAATATATTAAAATTAATAATTTTAATTATATAATTATATTTAATGTAAAAAAAAAAATTGCACATTAAATTTTGATTTTAAATGAATTAATAATATTAGTAATATAAATAAAATATAATTATAGTCGAATTATTAATTAAATTAATATTTTATATATATAATTTATTTAAATATAATATATATAAATATATGAATAATAATAATATATATAAATGTATGAAAATAAATATAATCATTAACAAGAAATTCTATATAATTTACTGAAAATTAAATAAGGGAATTAAACCTACGCGGGCACTTCGGAATCCTCCATCTAGTAAGTCGTATTTTCGAGAAATGAGTCGGAAGAACGCCAAAAGAAATATATGGCCCAAACCGTGACTCGGTGCCTCGAGAATGTTTGACATTCTCACGCTAATAGTTACAGCGCACTTTGCACAAAAGTACAGCTTCGCGACAAATCACGTGGCAGCTTGAGAGGTTGAAGACGCGACCTCGACTGGTTCCCTGTCTCGTGGCGGTGAAAAAATGATTGAAATTCTAGCGGCGACTGAACGACCCGATAATCTACCAGCGGGAATCGCCCCGTGACTTTGTCCCCCGCTGTTTCACTGCGTTTTCAGCTACGTTTCCAACGAGTAACAGCAAACCACAGGCGCTCGTTCGTTCTGGTTGTAAAGAGCCGAAAGAATGCATCGCCGGCGAATCTCGGGTCCGAAACGTCGTTCGATTGAAAAACGGCGAGGTCAGCGGCGCGCGTAATTCCTTCGAGGCGAAAGAATAGCCTGGTTTAATTTGCGTCGGTGCGTGATTCGCCGATCTTGTAAACAATGTCCGACGCTGTAACGCGGCTCGTAGCTAGAACAAGAAAGAGAGAGAGAGAGAGAGAGAGAGAGAGAGAGAGAGAGAGAGAGAGAGAGAGAGTAGCGAACTAGCGAGATCTACTCGAAAGAAGTAGAACGGGAAGTGACCAGTGAGTCCAGCTCTTCGAGGTCAGGCACGCAAAGTCAGCCTTCAGACGCCGTTTCCGGAGGGAAGCCACGCTCGCACGCTCCATCTTGTTCCCCCTTTTCCTGTAGACATACATACATACATACATACATACATACATGCATGCATCGCCAAGTCTCACTATGCAAGTACCACTTCCCTTCGTAAGGTTCTTTAACTTTTACGAACGAACCTTTCAAAGTTCGCTGCAATCATTTGCCTTATTTATTCGAGACAAATGAAACTCCACCGTATGTAGAACATACATTTCTCTCGGAATTTCTAGGAATTTTTAATCGCAGTTCAAGTGCACGTTTGACTGGTTTTTTATTTTTCCAATCGTTCACGTCCACTGGAAGATTTTCCACTCTCGAATCTGTTGCCGAGGTGAAGCTTTGTTTTTCGTTCCTTCGAGTACAGGGTGGAAGGGAAAGTTTGTCCGTGGCTATCATGGGTGAATTCTACACCTTCGATTTGATGAAAAGAACATGTAAAGAACCTGCCGCAATCTTGAATGTTAAGGTCAAATTTTTCTTTTTTTTAATCTGTGTTCTACTCATCACGAAGATTCATTTACTTGATAGTTCTTTTGAAATACTGCAGACACGTGCGTTCTAACAGCGACTTTATGGTTCTAGAGTTGGCGTGGATATAATGTTTATGTTTCGAATAATGTTAACAGTTAGTTTATTATTATTTGATAATTACACTGTATATTGTATATTGATTATTATTACATTATATACTACAACTAGTAGTAGTAAATCGAACGTTAACGAAACCTAAGAATCCAGAACTCACTGTTGGTACACGTCCACAGTGTTAAATGATTAAAAATGATTAAAATTTTCGCCATTTTTCAAGAGAACTGTCAGATTACGACCTGTGGTTCCTTGGCAAAGTTTTTATCACTTCGTGACAAGTAGAGTGTAATGCAAACAATTTTTATATAATTTTATAGAGTGTAATGAAATCAAATTTTTTGACGTCGAAATTCAAGGTCGAGGTCAATTTCGCGACAGGTCAATTGTCTTTTACATTTTCATCAAATCGAAGATGTGGAATTCATCTATGATGGCTGATGGACATTTTCTCTTTCTATCTTGTACTTTACGTTTCAAAGTAGAGGCTTCGCATCAGTACTGTTTTAAAAGTCGAACGAAAACGGTGAAAAAATTTCCACGGAAATTTCCCGCGTGAAAACTACGACTTTCCGCCACGTGATTGAACGTGAAAGTAGACCGCGAACCATTCCCCCAGCTGGGTAGACCAGGCTGTCAGAAGTCCTTCCGCCATTTTGCCAATTGATGGATCATTGAAATCGCGAGGAGAGCGTGTCCGATGAATAGGCGAGGCTCTATCCAGTCCGGCTTCTTTCCGCGATGGCCGCTGTTTATGACGTCTACAGCGTAGCTCGGATTTGACGTGGACGTATTTGTTTAACTTTCTGTTCGTCGATTTTCTGTCAGGGGACTAAGTGCATAGCGTGATCCAACCTCCGGCTCCGATAATGGATGTCTGCGACACGGACGTGTAGAATGAAGTTTGACTTTGCATAAATAAACTTGCTGGATCTTGAGATACGTATTGGAATTGCTGGGAAAAGATGGCCGCGGCGAGAGAGATGTTGTAGATTTACGTTCCATTACTGTGGAATCGTTGCGCAAAACCGTTGGAGATTCTCGATCAAACAGAGAGAGAGAGAGAGAGAGAGAGAAGAACTTTCCTCCTTTGATCCGAACGGGTTGAGAATGAATTTCCGCGGTCACGGAAATAAAACGACGATATGATCACCGCGAGATGCTTCTATTTCTATTGTAGTTTGGCCAGATTTTTTTTTTACTAGATATTGAAGTTACGCCAGTAGAAATTGAGAAGTGAGAGAGAGAGAGAGATAGTCCACGCATACATAATTCATGGAAAGACTTGCGGCGAAGTTGGTTGACATAACCGCGGTATAACGCGTCGTAATGCGTCATAATGTATAATAATGCATCGTAGCCGAGAGCGTAATGCATGAAAATGGTCCTGCCGCGAGTGGCTTTCTTTATTTCATCGCCGCCATTAAACGCGCCATGATTTCCTGCTGGCACGGCTGTAATCTAATTTCGCGGCTTGCTCGCGCAATTATTGCCCACTCCTCGCGCCTCTGCCATCCTCTTCTGCCCCCCTTCTCTGGGGGGAGAAGGTCCCCGCGATACGTCGCTTTAACGGCCGGTTATTAAAACCGTGTAACGGAAACGGGCTTCTGAAACATCCTCACGCGCAATCGCGTCGAAACTCGTAAGATCGTATCGATCGATTACGTCTTGTTGTTAAGTATTGTCGTCTAGGTGTCCAGAAAGAACGATGCCTAACAGTCTGTATGCACGTGCTCCTCCCATACGGTTTTCGAATAAATAAATATCGATTTGGCATGTGAGTGGCTCCGACAGAACGGATTATACGGCGCCGCGCATCAGCGAGCCATTAATGCTCTGTCGTTTCCCGGAAACAACGCGGCACCGTTGCTCGTTAGACATGCTAATACATGGAAACTTTGGGCAAAGTATAATTATTAGGGTCGTCTAGATTATAGCGAGGTAGCAGGGCGACGGTGGCGAGACAGAGACGAGAGAGAGAGAGAGAGAGAGAGAGAGAGAGAGAGAGAGAGAGAGAGAGAGAGAGAAAGGGGGGTGAGGGAGAAACGGAAGGGTAGCAGAACGCGTGCAACACGCTCCAGAGCCAGGTACAGGTTCTTAATTTTACGGGCCATTAGCCTCGTAATTACACGGGCGAATTAATTGCGTCGTAAGTAAGTTATTCCACCCGAGGGAGAGAAGGGGGAAAAGCGAGCCACCGAGCGGGAAGGGGAGAGAAGGAACGCGCGGGGGCAAAAGGAGTGGAGAGACGACGTCGAGGAAACGACGGGTAGGAAGAACGAGGGGCAAGGGGGCAAGCAGAGGGCGAAGAGGGCAGGAGGCAGAGGTTGTTAAGATCAACTGCAGCAGCCAGGAAGCGGCAGCGACGATCAGCAGCACACCGACGGTGGCAGCGACGACGACGACGACGACGACGGCGGCGGCGGCGACGGCGGCAGCAGCAGCCCTTAGTAGTAGTAGCGCACTCTCTGGACCAACTTCCGCGACTCATTATGGCTTGCACAACAAATTAACGTGACGGGCCTCGACCCCTGTACACCGAGCGTCCTTAACGTGGCGCTTGTTAATGAACTCGACAAAGAGAACGAGAAAAAGCACGCGATCTCCCTCGATTCGCCAACACCGCTCCTCCCACCACCCTCTCTCGCCTTCTCCACCTTCTTCTTCTTCTTCTCCTCTTACTCTTTCTTCTTCTGCTTCGCGACCCTTCATCGCTGTAGCTCCGCCTTGGCACCGACACCCCACCGAGATCTACTCTGTACACGTCGTTTAAGCGAGTTAACAAGCGGTCTTTTGTTAGAGACCTGGGCCTTTTTTACTGCCGCCGCGGTGCTATTGCTCGAACTGCTTTTGCTCTTAGGGAGAGAGAGAGAGAGAGAGAGAGAGAAGGAGGGGTAAATGATCGGGCCAAGGCGTGCCGGAAGTATAATTCTGCCTGACAAATTTTCATTTCAGATGGAAATCGATCGACTACCATCGGAGAACTCGAATGGAGGAAAAGTTGTTTGCCGATTGAACCAAGTATTATTATATTGAACCAAGGTGTCAAGGAGAGAAGAAACCTAACTGCAGACAAGGAAAAAATTATGTTTGGGACGTTTTGGAATTCAGGCAACGACGTATGGCGGAGATCTTGATAGACATAATTTAGACAGGAAAGACAACTGGAATTTCAAGTGGATTATACGCTTATTCTTTATACAAAATTGAGAATTCCGTTGTCACAAGGAATTTAATCTAAGAAAATTACCCGAATGACCACAATGATTTCAAATTCCTTGATAATGTTATAGTGATAACAATAACTAACGTTGTGACAAAAGGTAGAAATTAAACGACTGTTATCTGAAAATAACCAGTAAAATGTAAAATTTAGATACTTCTGAATATAAAATAGAATATTAAAACACAGAATATTAAATACTATACACTAATAAAATACTAAATGCTATAAAACAAACTAGTAAAATTCAGATGACTGAATATAAAATAAAATTCAGATGACTCTGAATATAAAATAAAATTCAGACAATTCAGATATAGCGATTCACAATATTTAGTCACGTTTATAATAATCGAGTTGTTATAAATAGTGACTCACGTTTATAATAACTGACGTTACGATAAAAAGTGGAAATTACATGCAAACGACTATTACCTAAAAATAACCAATAAAATGGAAAATTCAGACACTTCTGAATATAAAATAAAATACTAAAATACAGAATATTAAATACTATACACTAATAAAATACTAAATGCTATAAAATAAACTAATAAAATTCAGATGATTCTCAATATAAAATAAAATACTAAAATACAGAATATTAAATAATATACACTAATAAAATACTAAATTCTGTAAAATAAACTAATAAAATTCAGATGACTCTAAATACAAAATAGAATACTAAAATACAGAATATTAAATACTATACACTAATAAAATACTAAATGCTACAAAACAAACTAGTAAAATTCAGATGACTCTGAATATAAAATAAAATTCAGACAATACAGATATATCGCGATTGACAATATTTAGTGACGTTTATAATAACCGAGTCGTTATAAATAGTGAGTCACGTTTATAACGACTAACGTTACGATAAAAAGTAGAAATTACACGCAAACGATTATTACCTGAAAATAACCAGTAAAAATGGAAAATTCAGACATACGTAAGGGGGGGGGGCGGGGGGGAGTATCAGCGCGGCTGACGATATCTACGAGTCACGTTAATAGAAGTTGGTATTCGTTAGCGGACGAGAACAATGCGTTTAGTGCATGTTACATGCAATAATAACGTCCCGTGGGTTACGAAATCTACATTCCACGGTAACAGGAATTATGAGACAGAACGCGTCTTAGGGACATTCGCTGGAGGAACAACGTGGCTCGTGTCGATAAATCTCCATGGAGTCTCTCTCTCCACGGCGACTTCCTCCGGCACGGCGCGGAGGCCGTGTTGGCTCGTTCGCTTGATTAATCGTGTTTAAACTAGTCGCCTCCGCGCCAATTAAGTCTGTACAACGCCCCGTGCAAGAACAGCAAGAAAGGGGCCGAGGGAGAGAAAGAGAGAGAGAGAGGGAGAGAGAGAGAGAGACACTCCCTCGTACCCGACCCGGAATGTCCGAGGAAAAACAGGACCTAAGGCGAAATGCCACGCCAGAGTAGTAAGGGGCCACGATAAATTAGTATATCAGAGCGATATACGTGTCTCGAACAAGACGCCGTATTATACCCTTCTAGTTCTTTATTTTATATTTGCGATATCAGAGCCAGATGAAATTGTAAGGACGTCATTTTCCACGTTCGTTTTCTTTTTTTTTCTCTCTCTCTCTCTCTCTTTTAACAGCGATGATCTAGCGGTTTTCTATATTTAGGTTATTTTTTTTTCTTTTTTTCTTTTTACGACGTGTCGAATGACGTTGAATTTTCTGACGATCTCGAGTGAAATATACGAAAATTATACGTTGCGTAGGACGTAGGAGTGTGAAATGAGTAATCACAGCGAGATCTTTTTCTTCATAATACTTCAGTTATTTCCTTTTTTGTAACGTCAGTTAACGAATTGAAACATTACTATCTGTCATTTGGCTGTGTATGACGCACGCTGATTCCAAAAAGTATTTACACACCAATTAATTAATTTCAAGTTGTATCAAGTTTCGTACCACTTACAACAACGAAACAAAAAAAAAATATATATATATATATATTCTTTAGAAAATAAGCTTATGGACAAATACTTTCTACTCCATAAACTTCGTAACACCCTAACGCACGTCCGGCGCACGAAGCATTTCTCCAATTAACACTCGAAAGACGTCAAAAATCGTCCCCCTGTTTCTTTTTTACATCGCTCGAAACAGTGGCGATATCAGCGTCAATTAATTATGTCGCCGAGGCCACAATAAACTCCAACCACGCCCCACTCTCCATAGACCCTTCTCTCCCACCCTTAATATCCCCGCACACGCACGCAGTCCAATTTCACGAGGGTTAACTGCGAGGCATTTACCATGAAAACGCCCGGCAATAAATCGCATCTTGCGTGCGGCGAGCGAACGCGGTTCGGATTTCCTCGCGGGACACGCGGATCGGTATAATTAGACTGGTTTACGGCGGTCGATCGTTGGAAAGCATTCGGGTACAAGCGAACCAGGGCAACTACATTATCCTTCAGCATTGCTCGCGCACCTTCGCCCAGCTTGTATTACTTTGTCATTAAGCGTCCGGGAAGACGGGTAGTGGTAAGTACCTACGTAGTAATAGGCGTTCGAATTTCAATTTGGAAGCATCTCAAGACTATGGTATCTCGATGGTGATAATTCCGATTTCGACTCACGTCGCCTATCAATCTGGAAATCGGACATAATTCAATTTTTTCCATATAACTGGAATACGAAAATTCCATTTGTTTCATTGTTGTAAGTGGTACGAAACTTGATACAACTTGAAATTAATTAATTAATTAATTAATTAATTGGTTTTCCATATAAATGGAAGACGAAATATTTTAGATAACAGTTTTTTAGTGACTCACACTATATAATATATTACTATATTACTATATAATAGTTCAGATTTTAGACTCGAGTCTGAAAGTTGAATGGTTTAACACTTTCGCGACAGACAAAACGTTCTCAAAGTAATTTTAAAAAATTAAATGCGTATAGGAAAAATAGTTTCTTTTTTCTTTTTTTTTTTAATAAAATGAATGTGACGAATTTACAAGTATATAAAATTTACATATTTACTTTACATAACAATTTGCGCGGTATTTATTAATAACGTGAAATATAAAATATATTAAGAATTTGGAATGACGTAGGATTGCGTTCCCGGTTGCAAAAGTGTTAAGACTGAAAATTTCAACTTGGAAATTTCTCAAGACTATGAAGCATTTGGAGACTCGAGCATTTGGAATACGATTTCAAAATGAGTCAGTTGTCTCGAAATTAAAATTTCAATTTGCAAGCGTGATTCGAATAATTTGAGGCACGACTTCCAAGGTTCAGACTCGTTCTTAGATTTCAGATTGACGTCTTGGACGTTTTAAGGATGAAAATTTCAACTTGGAAGTTTCTCGAAGGTTTGCTGACTCGGGTTAGTTATCTTGAGACTTCGACTTGCAAGCATGATTTGAATAATTTGAGGCACAATTTCGAACGTTCAAACTCTTCAGATCTGAGTCTTGGGTGTTTTTAAGAATTTAAGAAGATAAGAAGGAAGTTCCTCAAGATCACGGAACACTCGAATTATTTATAGCATCGACCTCAAGGGTCGGGACTCGTCTTAAAATTTCAACTTGCACGATCTCGATAATTTGTAGTACGATTTCAAAGGTCGGGGCTCGGAGTTCGCTATCTCAAAGGTCAAGTCAGCTTTAAAGTTTCAACACGCAGCATTATTTCAATAATTTCGAGAGCTCGTTCCCGAGTGTCTTTCCGAAGTCTCCACACCCCTCTAAAATAAATCGAAAGTTCCCGACTTTTATTAATACTTCGTGCCACTTCCGTAAATGCTTGCAAGATACTGAATACTTAACACGCTTTCGAGACCTATCGAAACTCTCGAGACTCGCCGAGACTTTCAAGATACATCCGAGATATCTAAGTCATTCAAGAATTACCAAAGACTTCCAAGAATTCTGAGCCTCGGATCGCTTTTCGACGCGACGCGAATCATTCGACTGCGAAACGCGAGTGAACTGGAAAAGAAGGATTGACACTGATTCATTCGTACCACGTTAACCTCTTGCGCTGGCAAACCGATTGCGGACCGTAACGAGTGACCAAACCAAAGTACACAATAAATTTGTCTTCTTTTTGAACTCATTCGGTACATCACTGGATAGAAATTACTAATTACTAATAAGTAATAAATTTATTATTATTTGTTAGTGGATCGAATTACAAACACACTGATTACTGATAGATTTAATATAAATTATGAAACACATACAATGTTTACCTCTCATCGATTCACTCTCTATCTCGTCTCTCGTGCTTTGCGTCTGGAGATCTTCACAACTGTTTCTCGTCACCATGCTCGCTCTCAATTCTTCTCGCATACATCTCTCACATTCGTTCTTTCTTCTGCCATGAAATATATCAAACACTCAGATCACACCACACCACAATTATATGCACACTCTCGCCACACTCATTCTTCTATACAAACATTTTGTATATTCATTCCACAATATATAACTATCTATGGTAACCACTGTCACATTATTATTATTATTTTTTCTTTTTTTGCCTGGATTATATTTCAATATACTTAAAACTGAGAAAAATATTGCAATTTTGGGCGAAATATTCTCGACGTAAAATAAGTCTCGAACTACATTCCCGGTACGTGAACTTTAAAAACAAAGAAATTATTTGAAAGTTTCTGAAAGAAAAAAAAAATTAGTAAAAAGAACAGAACTCTAATTTTCTCCCAAAATTCACCCCTAATGATCTGATACTCTTCCAACGTGAAATTGAATAATTTTCAATTGTGACGCTACTTTAAGGGATCAGAACAGTGTGAAATTTTCAAAAAATCGATTTTTTTTTTCTAAATAGTAGTTTGAAGTCTTAGAAATAAGATACAAAAGGTCCTAGCCTTTAAAACGACTTATTTTATAATAATAAATCCGCGGATACAGAATAATTGAATTTGCAATCACTGTTTGCAACTTTAAGCAGTATTATAAAGTGTAAATCGTGCGATTCAAATATTACTTTCGGCGAATCGAATATTAGGGGACTTGGTTTCAATTTAGTTGTAAATTTTAAGAACTGTGAGCCGCGATATATGAGTAAAAAAAAGTAAGTAAGGGATACATACGAAAAATGACATTCTGAAACTTAATTAATATAACATAATATAAAAATATTATTAAATATATATATTAAAATAATTATATATAATGATATTTTATTAAATAATAATTTTTTCTCGAAAGTAGGATTTTAGAAACGGTGTGCAAGATATCTTGGAATCTAACCAATCGATTACTGTGAAACTTGGTACGTGTCTTTAGTGTAACATTTACTAGAGATTAACGATCGAACATTTCTTAATTTTTAACAATTTCGAAAAATATAAACAAAAAACGTAGAAATTTTTGGCGTAAATTCGATACGCCAGAAACAAATAGCTGCCATTTTCATAATCTTCACAGAAATGAAAATGTTGGATCGTCAATCCCTAGAGAATATTGTTTACTTTTGAACTTTCTTTGCCTTTTCGTTGCAGCTAATCCTGCTTGGCTGGAATCCGTGCACACCGATAGGCAATGTAAAAAAAAAGTTATGTAAAAAGGATGCCGTTGAAAAGTTAAATAAGAGCCCTCTTTTTTTTCTCTTTTAATGCTGCCTTTTATAGTTCATAATGTGCTATAAATAAACCGCGAAAGCTCACGTCAATCAAATGTGTAGTATTTTCTTTTTACTAGCCCTCTAAAGTATACGAAATTTTTCGGCCCGTCATACTGCCCCCTTAAAATATTATTACGATCGCTACGAGGTGTCCCGAATCGATGGTCCTCGAATCAATGAGAACCTCTGGCTCTCTTGGAATCATTAGCTATGCACAGTAGGTGCGCAAGATAAATATACAGATACACAATACACAGACGAGCACACGTGCCTGGTAGTATTTGTGCGTATGTATCTGTGTATTTGTGCGTGTGTGTGTGCGTGTGTGTGTGTGTGTGTGTGTGTGTGTGTGTGTGTGTGTGTGTGTGTGTGTGTGTGTGTGTGTGTGTGTGTGTGTGTGTGCGCGCGCGCGTTTGGAGAGGAGGCTGTACGTGTAGAGCTGTTATACCTGAACAGAAGGGAGAAATGTGCGCGGCGTAACAGGCCAATGTAAAGTCGGTGCGGCGAGGATGCAATTAATGCTAAGAAGCCGAGGTGGTTTAGCGGTCGAGCAAGCATGATTATCCTGGATACGGAAAACGGGCGAGAGATAGAGGCAGAGGGGAGGAAGGGAGAGCCGAGAAGGAAACAGCAGGGGGAAACTTTAGGGGACAGAGGGAGAAAGGAAGCACCCCGGGACTTAACCGGAATTAGTGTTACGGAATGGTAATTCCTTACCATCACGTAATGTCGCTGAATCTCGATCTTCTCCGTGGCCAATTTCTCGCACTCGAGCTTCAACCTGCGAACAGAGAGAAACGGGAATACATACAGATTAAATGATTTCGGTACTATCTTATGTTTCTACAGACTGTACATTTCCGCGTGTGTGTGTGTGTGTGTGTGTGTGTGTGTGTGTGTGGTGGACGGTGTATCTTACCACTGGACTACCAACGATCAAAACGTAAAATTTTCATCATTATATTAATACTTTATAACGGAGTGTACAAGCTTCTATTTGTACATTTTACGAAAAATTATTTAAATCCCTAAAAATACACTTTATACGTTTCGCGTTTAACAAAAATTATAAATGTATAATTTATATAATATAATTTATATAAATTATAAACTGATCGTTTTGGCCATTTTTAAGTTTCAGGTAGTTAACGCTAGAACTATGAATACGATGGTACGAAATTTGAAATCAGAGAAACGAAGTGAGAGTAGAATGGGGAACAAAAGTTTCTGATACAGTAAAGAGCACAGTATAAAGTTTCGATTAAAAAAAAAAAATTACTGCTCACTTTCATCATTGTGGTAGTTGTAGCGTTCTCTTTTCTCGGAGATGGAGGTCATGTTTCAACACAGATGCTAATTAAAGTATTAAAACTTGTGCCTCTCGTGGTATATTCCGCGATTCTTACCGAACAGCGAGAGTTGATTCTCAGTTTTACATTTCGAGAGAATTTGTAACACGAATCACGTCGCTGCGACGTAACAAGCAGCGTGCCTGCAAAGTTTCTAGCCGGGAACATTTTCTATTTTACGTTCCAGAGAAACGGTATTGAAAATTTTCCAACGAATAAACGCCCGTACTGTATCGTCGTATTATTTAAAATTATTTCACGCGTAGTTCGATCACACAACTGACCAGAACACAAATCTGACTTTTCAAAAAAAAGAAAAAAAAAAAAAACGTCCCACTTTAAATGACACGTCAATAAAATTCTTTCCAAAACAAACAGTTTACTACACAGTTTCCAAAACTGGAGTAAACACACACTTACGCGTATTGCGTTTCTACAGCAGAGATATTTATATTCTATCCTCGAATAAAATTACGTTTTTTCATTGAGAATCTTTGGCAACCGACGTTGTACAAACATCCGCTCTCTAATGTTTTAACTGGCGTGAAATATCGTTTGCCAGTGTTATTTCTACAGTACAGACAACACGCGTGCGTGATCACGTGTGTGTCACACACAGCTACATTATCCACTAATTCGGGCAACGAGTCCCGCGATCTTTCTGCTCGCCTCTATTAGCATAATGTTAATATTAATTGTCGTCGATCATGCATACGTAATTGCGTGCACGCGCGATGGCCATTTATGCTTCTCTCTCTCTCTCTCTCTCTCTCTCTCTCTCTCTCTTCAACGAACTACAGAATATTCGGTAATGAGCGGTAGAATCAAAGTAGCAAAGAGAAAAAAGTTGAAATGAAAAAAAATATAGAGTAGGATAATGCGAACGCGGAGCTTCATTCTTGAGAACATCAAGTTCGAACGCACTTTGGCTGCACGTGCATTTGATTACGTCTGGTGCGCTCCCCATAGACGCGTCGTTAATTATACATCAAAACGATTGCCAATTTCTAACGTTGATGAATGGAAATGTCATCGGATATTTTCGTTCTGTTGAAACGCACACGTACGTGTGCATAGCATGCAAATTTAGATCGTCGTTCAAATATAACTTTGGTGTATCCTATTGAAAGTGTTCACGCGTGGAGAGACATTTCAGAGGACTAATCTAACAGCGTAAATTAAAATCGACTCGTGTCGCACAAACGGTTTGCCCCCCCCCCTCCCCCCTCCTTCGATCGAACAATTTAGTTACAATATTCTGATAATTATAGTATCGTAATGAGTAAATTGTTCTATCGACTGGTGGTTTTAAACCCTTGACATACAGTGACGTTGCTAGGAATTAGTTAGATATGAGTCGTCACAGAGTAACTTAGCCAAGGATATATAAGATATAAGAGCGTCAAGAAGGACTCACGGTCAGTTTTAGTCAGCATTAGCAACACTTCCTACATCAAGTAAATTTCGGAGTGAAAAAAAGTCTCCTTTTGTTTGAATAAAAGTTCTGTAAAATTCTGTATAGTGTAATTTATAGACTTACAACGTAACAATGTCTGGGAAATGTTACGCGTTTTCTAAGCACAAGTCGACAAAGACGTTCGCAAGTTAATACGTAATACAAAGACGAAAGAAATATTTTTCTACATGCTCGATATGACAAGTAGTGTAAAAATGATCTTTCGTCCGAGTTTACGCAAATGTTGAAACGAAAAATAAACATCATCGTTTGGTCGTATCGAGTTTCATTTAATTCGTACGTCAAAGGATCGATCACTGAATCCACGATTGTCTGCAAAAGTTCAATCCTTTCGAGAAAAACGAAGCAAAAAAAAACTTTCACTCGGCGCGAGCACGAATTTCTCGAAAACGGAGCTTCCTGAAGACCACCAAGGAACACATCATCCACCTCTTTCCATTCATTTTTTAATACAGAACCCACTTGGATTATACCACTTGCTGCTCGTTCTCGCGTGTACAGCACGCCGCGCAACGTTTGAAATATCGCATCTATCGTCTCTCTGCGGCACTGCTCTTATACCCCGCGCGTCATCGACAGAGAGAACAATGCCGTGTACGTTTGCCAACTTCAAAGAGGAAAAAAAGAAAAAGAAGGAAAAAAAATGAAAAAGAGAGAGAGACGACGAAAAAGAAAGACCGAAAGAAAGAAAGAAAGAAAGAAAGAAAGAAACTCGGAAACTTCCGGCTGGGAAGTTGCAGCTTGTACTGAACAATGAAAGTTTCGATCGGCGAAACGCCTGAAAAATGCAACAGCAGCGAGGATCGAGGCTTCCTTAATTTCGTATTCCGCGGTGGCTACGCGGCGCACGGGTGTCATTACGTGTCTGCCAATAGCCACGCTGTCGTAAATCACTTATGGCTTTTGTGTGCTATCGCGTGCAAAGCCAAGGAAGCAGCAGCTGCACGAATTCCCAGGCTCTTTCTCTGATCCGCGCGCGCGACGGGGTTGGTAGCTGCCCCGATAGCTGCCGGCTACGTATGCAACTTGCAGACAAAAGGAGAAGAGCCCGAGGAGAGAAGCTGAAAGGGCTGATGAGCAGGTGCCGGCTCGACTTCAATCGTTTTACGGCTCTTCTTGCCCCCCCCCCCAATCCCACCCCTCACCCTTTTTTCTTCACCTTCTCTGCCCTCAACACTTTCTTCCTTGTCCTCTTCGTCTACTCCATCCTTTTGTTTTCGGTCGCGCGATTTAATAAACTTATTCGAGTCGGGGCACTCTTTTTTCTTTTTTTTTTTTTTCTTTTTTTCGGATTAGCCTCGCAAACCAGTCTTTTTTAATATTAATTCCCTTGGAACTCGAAGAAGAGAGTGGGGTAGAAAGAAAAGGAAAGAAAAGGAACTGTAATAAGGTGACTTGGCAAAGGGTACAAAGACCTCCAGTCAGAATTTCTCCGGATGATTGTTCTTATGTTCCACTTACGCCCCGTTGTAATTAACTTTCGCCTTTACCGCGGACTCTAGTTTAATATCGCTGCTCCGAAAGGGCACTTGTACCCCCCGCTTCTCTTTTATTCTTGTCGCGGTTCTTGGCGATTTTGATTTTCGTTCGCATTCAGCGACGTGACTCGTCAGCGAGGTCAGAGATTTTCATGTTTGCCTTTCGCAAGTTAAATTAGAATCGAATCGGTTTCTATACTTGCAATTTCCGTGTAATTTGTAACTGCTATTGTAAATAATATTGAATAATTTCCTCCAATGTGTATCAACACCAGAAACTACCGGCGCGTTGAAACGTAAAATTTCCATCAGAAAAAAATGAAAAACGAAAGCACATGAAAAATAAAAAAATAAAGTGCACGAGCTTCTATTTCATTCAAAATCTCTAAAATAAAAATATACTGTTCTACAATCTGTGAAATATCCAACAAAAATTGTAAATTGGTCATTTTGACCATTTTGGTAATTCTAGTGTTAAGTGCTAGTGTAAACCATACACTCGTATCTGCATAAATTAATTATAAATACAATATATAATTACAAAGTATATAATATAAAATAATGTATATATAAAATAAGTATATATAAAATAATAAACACAATTCGTTGTATCATGCATATATAATAGACGGTAACCAAAAAAATTGAATCAGTGTATTCGAGTGATGAATACAATGATAACGCGTTAAAGAGGCGCGACAGGAAATTGTTTCTCAATTAATTATGGTACAAGATGTGTCTCACTTACGCGTGACATTGGTTCTGCAAGAAGTTAAATTCCTCTTTGATCCTATCGCAGGATTCTCCGACTGTGAATTTAATTTGCTGTCCAGGTTGCGGCGGTCCCTGCAATAAATCCACCACAGAGAAACATTAATAATCCAGCGGTTAAATTAATGATCTTGTTATTTCTTTATTGTCTTCGATTTCTTAAAGCACGCGTCTGGCAGATGTTCATCGAACACTCCGCGATACTGGTAACATTGTGCTACGAATACCCGAAATACATATGTCATTTGCCCCAACCGCGTAAACAAAGCTCGCGGCTGTCACGAGACGATTTTAATCGCCACAATCTTTCACTCTTGCTGGCAAATGATCTCGCGCTAATTTTTCTCCGATATTTACGGCATCTCGTTTGCTCGGTGAATTTCGAAAAATTATTCAGAGTCAAGTGTTTATTCGTTTTGGAACGATGGCAATTTAACAAAGTGATCGTTTCGAAATAAATGACACACTCGGGTCTGAATAATTTTGAAGAATTGATTAACAAATTAACCGTGTCTGAGTTATCTTTGTAATAACAGAAACAGAGTTGTTCGTAAGTATAAAAGACGAAAATTTCATTTCTCGCAAAATAATTCAACATTTTTCCTTTAATATTACGCGGTGTATCCGTTTAGCTTATAAATTTTATGAAACGTAACTATAAAGTTACAGGTATATTTTAATTGGCAAAGTTGGGGCTGATTTCGTATGTTGCAAGTTAAACACCAAAAAATAGTTATCGGATTTCACAGTAATAAACTAGGGCTTAATTCCGCGAAAGTAGCGGAATATAGCGGTTGGAATATCTAACTAAAACGTGTGTGGTATCACATTATAACGCAACAGCACGTAAAACACGGGCAAACTTTGCAGTCTAAACTTTGCCCCCATTAATCGTTATGCGCGTGTTATGCGAAAACTACCGGACGGAGGATCGCGTATTATTAGACCTTTTCTTCTATCGATACCGATGAGAAATAAATTTTGCCCGGTAACCTAAAATTGTACAATACTGTTTCCAAGTGTGTCGTTACAGTCTCCGTGTATTTTGAAATCAAAAAACCATTGTAACCCAATGCTAAAAATCTCTCTTTCCCTCGCCATCGAAACAATTGCAGTTTCATTTATCAAACCACGCGAGACAAATCCTCGTTAAACGCCATTGATATTCATCAAGTCTTCGATTCTTCTTCGAAGGAGAATCGGCCAAGGTTCGGTACGGAGAATTTGATTCGTTTCAAAGGAGAGCGAATAAGAAAGAGAAAATTAAAAGAGAAGACGAGAACAAGGAGGATTTAAAAAAAGTAAAAGAGAATTTAGATACGTGTGAATACGTGTCTACGTTGACGTTTTTATTATCGCGCATGAATAATTGGACATCTAGTTACGGTTCAATAAAAAAAAGTTGACATTTTTTCTCCTTAATTTTATGTATATATATATATATATACAATTTTATATGTTTTATATATATATATATAAAATAAAATAAATTTTATGTATAAAATTATATATTTATAAAATAAAATAATTTTATATATAAAATTTATTTCATTTCATATATTATATATATATATATATATATATATATATATATATATATAAAATAAAATAAATTTTATATATAATATTATATATGTATATATAATTTAATATATTTGACAATTAACTTTCCTATAGTTAATATCAATTGGTGTAAATAAGAAAAAGCAGCAATTAAAAGTGAAAATTAATTTTAGTGAGTATATATATATACACACACACACAATGTTCATTTCTAAGAAATTATTGACACTTTAAACTTTATGTAAATTTTTTGTAACATTCATTTCTAAGAAGTGGTTGACATTTTATAAACTTTATGTAAATTCTTGTGACTAAATCAATCCCTGTAGTATTTCAATATTGAATATACTTAAAAATGCCCGCCAAAATTAATTTTCACTTTTAACTGCAGCTTTCTTATTTACACCAATTGATATTAACTGTAGAAAAGTTAATTGTCGAATATTAAATTATATTTAGTAAAAATTATATTTATATTGTATCTAATTTAATAATAATTAATAATTATAATTATATTTATGTTTAATAAAATTAAATTAAGGAAGCTCATTTTATATATTTGCAATAATTTAAAATACAATGAGACTAGCCGCGACGCGAAAATAAGCGAGGAAGAAGTCGTCCGATAGAAAAACAGATAAAATTGAAAGAACAACTTCAGTACAAACGAGCCAACGTGCCATTCTCAAAATCAATCGACGATCTGTCAAATTAAAAAAACAAAAATGTTTCTTTCGCCAAGAAGAACTGTGACTCATCCTCACCTGTTGTTGTTCTCCACCTGTGGTCGCCAATTTGTCGAAAAAAAAGGGTGGTGGAGAGGAGAAAGAAAATAGAGAAGGCGACGGAAGCCGAGCATAGCGCGCGACGTGAATACGCATCAATGCCCGCCGGTGAATAATTAATTTCACACAGCTGTTCACCGGCGAAGGAGCACCGCGAATGGATGCAGGAAGTAATGCGTTAGCCGATTTGCGGGGGCTTGGCGAAGAAAAGGGGGGAATCAAACAGGCGTAGCAAGAGGAGGCCAGGCGGGGCGAGACGATCTCGCGCGGCACCGTTTGTTTCGCTCCGTCTGGCATACAGTAAACAGCGAAAGACACCTAAACGCCATCGGCAATCACGCACGCGTGGATAAACCCGCAATGTTGTAACTCGTAACGTAACGCAACGCGATAACAAGATTTCGCTGGCAGGTGGTTTTCGACCGGCTGTTCTCCAGGGAATCCGCGATTCCGAGCGATTCACCCACCACCACACCGCCGCTCGAGGAAATTCCCTCCGTTGTTGTTTCGAAAGACCGACGATTTACGACGTTGCCTCTCGCTCCGCGATCCACGGTAACGTGCACCGAGACTGCTTGTTGACAAGGATTTTCGACCCCCGGTCTTAGGACAAGTTATTGATCAAAATTTAAATTAAAGTTAATTAGCCAGTAATTTTTAGCAGATTGATGTAATGGTAATTATTGTAAGAGTTGGCAAGGTAATTGTAGTAGATTTCAATGCATAACATTTTGTTTCAGTAAGGTAAATCATGTCGCGTTACTGTATTTGTAAGCTTGAGAGAGAAAATCGAAATTGAAATTGTTTTTGCCTTTATGTTTCGATTTTTGAAGAACAATATAGACAGGTATATCGGCAGCTCAGTTAGTTATGAAGTTAAAAATTATTAAATACAAATCACTTGCAGATAGATGGATTTTAATTCCTCGGGATAGATATAATATACTAGAAATGCTAACTCGACTCCAATACGGTTGAAAATAGAATAAAACTGATTGAATGGTTTTTGATACTTTAAAAGAAGATTTTTGAATTATATATATATACATATATATATATATATATATATATATACATATATATATATATGTATATGTATATATATATAGTAGAGTTATAATATGTATATAATAGGTATATAATATAGTATAGCTATAATATAGTACAATTATAATATAGTATAGCTATAATATAGTACAATTATAATATAGTATAGCTATAATATAGTATAATTATAATATAGTATAACTATAATACAATATAGCTATAATACAGTATATAATACAGTATAGCTATAATATAGTATAATTATAATACAGTATAGCTATAATATAATATAATTAAAATATAGCATAGCTATAATATACTATATAATATAGTATAATTATAATCAGTATAGCTATAATATAGTATAATTATAATACCGTATAGCTATAATATAATATAATTATAATACAGTATAGCTATAATATAGTATATAATATAGCTATAACATAGTGTATAATATAGTATAGTCATATATATAGTATAATTTTTATTTTATTTGTTTAGTTTATTAAAATCGATCTGCACACATATGACTTGCACGTGTTCCATTCATTTTACTTAAATTACTTAAACCATCGTCGTTCATTTTTTTAAATTTGTGCGAAAGCGTCAAAACGCGGCAAAAACTTTTTCCCTAGAAGAATTTCGACAGACAGATCCGAAACATTTTTTCCAGAAAATTATTCGCATTTGTACATCCTCGCGTCGATTCTGAATTTCTGCCGCTGAAAGAGAAATATTGTATCTGCTCTGGAAACGATTCTGGAGGTGATCCCGAGCGCGAAAAATATGACGAAAGTTTCGAACCGGATTTTCGGGGAGGGGGACAACACTGTTGACACGGGGCCTTCCTGCGGTAACTCGAACGTGATTTCGAACGTTATTGGGGATAGGCAAAGGAACGTTTGAGATAATATAGAAAGGAGAAATGTGTGTTATGCGCGAGGAATATGTAGAGCCCGTTCGATCGATCGTGGGCTGGATAGATGGTTCGTGGCTCGAACGAGTTTTCATGCACCGGTGGAGACTTGCAAATCATAGGTTTTAAGTTTTCTAGCGATCGCTGGTGTATACACAGCGTATCGATTTTTCGAAAGTTCCACCGCGCGAAATTCGCGGTGAAACTCGTTTTCCGTAGGCAGTTGTCTGGAAGATGGATTAAACGAAACGGTCGTGTAATTTCGTTGCCTAACGCTACGCACTGTATGAATTATACGAGAATTTTGTACTCGGACAAAGTTGTATAATTTCCTTGATTCTACTGTGAGATATGACTCTTAAATATCTACTCTGTTATATTCCCTGTCGTAACTGATTTCATTTTTTTTTTTTTTTTCTTTCGCTTCTTTCGTGCTTTTTATCAAAACACGTCGAGCATATTATGGAAATGTAAAGAACGAGTTCAATCAGTTATTCTACAGATAACTTTCGAAGGTCAGAATAATTTTTGATTCTTTTACTCCGAAGTTTCCATATTTGGTGTTAGGTAAGGCTATATCGCAGAACATGATGTGTGTTATAAACTAAAATGTGTTCGTATCACGAAGCGGGGAATAATATTCCAAATGCGGAATAATTCGCGGCCAGGGATTTACTAGAAATTTTATATTTATTAATATCCAATATTAGCATATAATATTAATAATTAATATTTAATACCATTAATATATTTATTAATGC